ATTAGTGATTTATTAAGAGCTAATGACCCCTTCAAGAGGCTCTAAATCTTAACCCAGAGAGGCCCTGGCCCTCCCCTCCCCCTTCGCCCCATCTCTCCTTACTGCCCCCCATCAGAGACAAGCTGCTCTTGCACAGCCCGATGACATCACAGCATCACCCACGTTTCCATGGTGACGGCAGGCAGGTGAGGCGGAGGCCCAAGGATAGAGGTCAAGCCCAGGGAGGGGCTGGGTTTCTTGAGGGCGGAGGCTCCTGCTCCCTCCCCCACCAGACCCAGGGGACACCAGCCCCTCCATGCCCTGCTGACCAGCGACCTCCACACTGCAGCCTCCTCCGGGCTGGTCTCCAGGACCACCCCCTCCCTACCTCATTCTGGCATTAGCGTTGCCCCAACCCCCTCATCTCCTCCATATCCCTCCTACCTCACATTTGTCTGTGTCTGCCTGTCCCTTTAGGGGCCCTTGGGAGGGGGTACATCAGCTTCTCTCTCTCCTGCTGCCCTTTCCTCTGTTTCATTTTGAAAGGTTCCTCATCAAGGATGAGAGAGTGTGCAGGGATCCGGGGTTCTGAGACTAAAGGCCCAGAGGGCCACAGCTCACCTCAGGCTGCACAGCAAGGCCCAAGCCACCTCTCTCTCCTTCTTCTGTGTTCCCTCACACCCCTTCCTCCCCCCCGCTTCCTCCAACCCCCTCTCCTCCTGGAAGACCTCAGAGCCCATTAAAGGAGCAGGAAAGATAATGAATAAACTAGGAAAACATGAAATCAATATCAGGAGAAAAAAGTACAGCTGACTTTAAGTGAAATAAACAAGCTGGTAATTATTTGGACAGCAGGTAATTAAAATGGGGTGAGGGCTGATTACTTTCTCACCGAGGGTATGATGGGCACGGCCAGACACCCTCTTCCAGCTGGAAGGTTGCAGCCAGGCCTGGGCTCCTGCCTGCTCAGATTTGGGGGGGTCGTCACAGGGGGTCTGCTCTTTGGAACACCCCTACCTACCTGTGTCCCTGTCTCCAGCAGCCTCTCCTGGCTCCCCAGGGGCAGGATCTGAGGCCCAGAGCAAAGGCAGGCAAGGCCGGGCAGCCCCCAGCCCGCCGTCTGCCCCCTTCTCCTGACCCCACAGCTCTGCCCAGCAGGAAGCAGCTCACCGCCGTCTCTCGGGACCTCAGCCTCGGGGATAGAGGCAGTGCTCTCAGGCCTCAGTTGAGGTGGACGCTTGTGCTGACAATTAAATCCCGGCCACCTGGGGTGACGGACAGATGACCCCTCCAGCCTCTGCCCAGACCACAGGGGACTTCCACAGGAGGCCATGAGGAGGAGCAGTCCCAGGGAGAAGGCAGGATGATGGGGTGCTAGCAACGATGGGAAAGGGGAGAGGAGACCAGGAGGGCAGAGCAGTGACGGGGGGGCTCCCCTTTGCTCTTCTGCAACCCCGATTCTTAGATTTGTAAAGTCGGAGGAGACTTTGGATGTTGTCCAGTCCAGCTTTGGCCTGCTAACTTGTTTGGCCCACACTGTGTTTAAATTTTTAAATTAGTTATCAACATTTTAAAACAGGAAATTTCGCATAAAAAATGGATTTCCAGCTTCTCTTGAAAGAAAGACTGTGGCACCTCCTGGATGGGCTGCCCACGTGGTGGTGGTCAGCAGAACTGAGCTGACCCCTTGGACAGACATCTTCCCTGTCCACCTCTCCAGGCACCACCCAGCCCCTGAAGGCTCCTGAGTTTGCCCCCCAGCCTGACCCAGTCCTGCCCCTTCTGAGGCCTGGAGAGGGCAATGACTTGCCCAAGGCCACACCGCCAGGGAAAGGCAGCAAAAGGCCTAGGAACACAGTCTCCTGATGCCCAACTGTGGGCTCTGCCCCCTGCCCTCAGCACATATGTGCTGGCCAGTCTCTGGCAGGGCACTCTCCAGGGCCCAGCCCCGGAGCTGGCAGCAGGTGAGGGGGGCGCTTCAGCCCTGCCACAGTCATTGACCCCCGTGCAAGTCCCTGAGCCAGACACTGCTGAGAAGAGGTGGCTTGGGGCTGCTTCATGCACTGAGGGTGTGCAGTCTGAGGGAGGAGGCAGCCGCCGCACACCCAGCCTTTCGTCAGTCAGCTGGATGATGCTCTCGCAGCCAGGGAGCCTGAGGAGCGAGTGGTGCACCCCCTGAGCAGAGGAGCTAGTGAGGGCATCCGGAGGAGGTGACACCTTGAATTATGAAGTAACAGGGCTGGGAGGCATTGGGAGTGGGCGAGGTGCCCTGCCAGTGCAGGGGAAAGTTGGGGTGAAGGAGGGGTCTGGGCGTGCAGGGGGAAGGGGTCAGTGGATGCGCTGAGCTGGCTGCAGGGTGTGGGTTGGTGACAAGGAATGAGGCTGCTGCGTTGGGGGAGATTTGGGGGAGTGGGGAGCCTACCTTTACCCTGCGGTCAGTGGGAACCATTGCAGGGGTTTGAAGTGTGGGATCAGATTGTCTTTCTAGAAGGCACTGTAGCAGCATAGTTGGTGGCACCAAAGCCAGGGGATGGTCACGGGAAGGAAGTCCTGTTTTGGGGGGTGGGAGTGGGGGGCTGAGTGAGTTGGGTAGCCATGAAGCCAGAGAGGAGGGAGGGGGTGGGAGAGAGGCTGGGGGGCACATAGGGGGCTAGAATAGTGGATGGGCAGGGAAGAAGAAGGCCCGGCCGCTCCAAGACTCATGCTCAGGCTCCTTGGGGTCGTGGCCTGGCTGACCGAGAGCAGGAGGTTTGGGGGAGCCACCTAGCCCGACTTGGGATGTGCCCGGCATGAGGTTCTAGGGGAGCCATCCAGAGGCAGGGGAAGTATCAGGATGGAGTTTAGCCAGGAGAGTGGCTGGGGACCCTAGTTGGGGAACCATGGGCTGGAGGCTGGCAGAGAAGGGCCGTGGAAGCAAGGACCTCAGGAGAGGGCAGAGCACAGCCGGGCTTCTGCATGGACGAGGGACAGAGAAGGAGCTGAGGTGTCACCTGGCCACCACCACTGCCACCACCACTTCAGGGGCTGGCAGGATCCATGGATAGGAGCTGGATCTGTGCCTGGTGACTGGGTTTTCCTGTGAGTCCCTATATGAGGAAGGGTCCACGTGGGCTTAGCTGCTGAGAATGGGGTCACAGGATGCCTGGTGACCTATGGCCACAGGGTCCCCTCCCTGGTGAGGACATCAGCTGCCCCAGCCAGATTTAGCCCAAAAGACAGTGGGCCGTGGTGGTGCGCACATGTGTGTGCCTGAGGGGCTTGGTGTGTGTGCCTATGAATGCCGCAGCAGACCCATGATTCTGGGACGCTGTGTGCCCGGGACTTCCCCGGGTGGGGCTGTGGCCACTGGACACTCTGTGGGGCAGGGACTCGAGTGCATCTTGGGTGCTGCTGTGTTCCAGTGCCAAGCACAGCGCTGGCCTGTTGTGGCCTGGTTAAGGACGTGGGGCACTGTAGCCTGCCTGGGTAGGACCCATCGCTCGCTGCTTGCCTCACCTCGCCCTGACTCGGTGTCCTTGCCTGGGCGTCAGAGATTAAAAACAGTTATTTGGCGCCTAGAATTGTTGCGAAGGTGAAATAAGAAAATCCATCTAATGTTGTTATCATTATTACTGTGTGTGTGAGCGTGTATGCACGCATGCACGTGTGTGTCACAGCCTGTGTGGGTGTCCACGTGCTGGCTGTAGTGGTGGGCAGTGTCTCCCACCGGCCAAGGGCAAGTGTCTCTCTTGTCTCTGGGCTCCATCCCGTGACCAAGACTGCTCTGCCCTGGGCACGCTGAGCCTAGTCGTGCCGGAGAACAGTGCCACCACTCCTGGCCCCAGCACTGGCCACGCTCACATTAAACCAGTGAGATATGAAATGCCACCGTATCCGGGACAGGGTCTTTAATTAAATTAATTGCCGGCAACAGTGTAAAAATGCGGATGGGGTCATAAACGGCGCCTCGGGGATGCTATTCATCATTCCCTCAGACTTTCAGGGGCCACACCTGGGATGGGGGTGGAGTAGGCATACTGGGCTGAGGCCACCAGGGAGCTCTGCAGCCACCAGAGGGCCTCCGGCAGGCGTGCCACAGAGATGGGCATGGGAGCATGGGGTGGGGGTCACCTTGCTTTAAGGGTGCGTATATGGAACGGTCGCATCATTCTTAGCCTGTATGTTGTCCTGGTGAAGGACACGGATAGAAATGGGGAGGGTGCCGCAGGGGCTGGCGGGGGGCGCGGGAGTGTCCTCCAGCCTGCTGGCCCGTGTCGGAGTTACTCTTGATCCATGGGCAACCTGACAATCTGGCCCAGCCCAGCACTGATAGCTGTGTGACCTTGAGCAAGTCCTTCCCCTCTGCGAGCCCCAGTTTCCTTGTAAGGAAGACAGGGGAACCCCCTCCCCGCCTGCCTGCCTCCCTTGTATTCCCCGGCCCCTTCCCGAGGCCTGCCCCGAAGGGAACTCTGCAGGGCTGTCACGTCTCTTTCAGCTGGGGCTGCCCTGGCAGGCAGGGCTCAGAGCCTGTGGGCCAGCCTCCCGTCGCAGCGGTGAGGGAGCTGGGCCAGCACCCCCCGCCCACCTCTGCCTGGTGAGAGGTGGAGGGGCCCGCCGTGCACACGCGCGCGCGCACACCACAAGAACCAGCCGCACACCCACAGCAACACGCGCTCCACCAGCAGAAGATTCCGAAGCAGGAGAAAGCCGTCCTTCCCCGGTTCTCTCCGGGCTCTGCGACCACATAATTACCCTGGATTCCATTCTATTTAATTGTAGCTTATTAAATTCTAACCAGCCAATTATCAGCCACAATTACAGCTTAATTCGAGGACACAATAGCTATTTTATCGTTTGTTAATCAAATGCTTATTTAGGCCTCAGCTTTATTAACTATTTCTCTGGCCCGAAGCAAGGCCCTGCGGCAGGAAGGGGCCAGGGAAGGGGGCCCTGGGGGCCTGGCCCCCCATCATGGTACTCTCTCCCTGGCATCCTGGCAGTTTCTAGGTCCCTTTCACTGGTGGGTTTGGGGGCTCTTAGCGATGGCAGGGGTGCGACAGCCAGTGTGGATGCCGGCTGTGGAGCTGGAGGACCCAAGTTTGTTTGTTGGTTCTTGCGCTCTGCACACATTTATCAAACACCAACCACGGGCCAGGCCTGTGCCAGGTTCTGGGACCACAGCAGTGAACAAGACAAGTGTGGCCCTGCTGTCCTGACAAATTTCAGGGGAAGGGGACAGACAATAACAAGCAAGCAAGTACACCAGCAAGGTGACTTCAGATGGTGGTGAGTGCTGTGAGCAAGAGACGGCGAGAGGGGCAAGGCCGGGGGGCTGCTTCAGACAGGCAGTCAGGGAGGGCCTCTCAGAGGAGGTAACATTGCAGCTGAGACCTGAGGGATTAGACGGGTCAGCTATGGAAGAGCAGGTTGCAGTGCGATGCAGGCAGAGGAACAAGCAACTGCAGACGCCCTGTGATCAGATAAGTTTGGAGGGTTTGAGAAACAGAGAGAGGGTCAGCGTGTGAGTGGAGTGAGCCGAGGGTAGCGTGGTGGGCGGGCCCAGACCCCTGCCCGTGCCTGGCCTGGGAGCTGTCAAGAGCCCACTTTGCCCTCTGTGGCTGTGTGACCTTAGGCAAGTCTTGAGCTCCCATTCCCTGTCTGTAAAAAGAGGGGCAGGTAGAAGGCACCTGAGTGCAGCTGCCAGGTGACAAGCCTGGTCTACGGCGGCTGGCGGGCAGTGTGGCCTTGGCCGCATGCCCCACTCGGTATGATGGTCCTCTGAGCTGGTGTGGTGGCGCCATCCCTGCCTGGCCCACCTTGTTCTTTGCAGTTCAGCCTGTCGGCGTGTCCTCCTCGTGGCACCTGTGTCTGTCCTTGTGACCGGGCCTGTGGAGCCCCCTAGGGAAGAGGGTGACTTTCTTCCGATCTTGGGGAGGTGGCTGCTGCTTCTGTGACACTTTCGTGCGTTACCATGGAAACCAGAGCGCCGCGCACGCCATGTGTGTAGCATGGGTCAGGGGAGCAGCCCTCCCTTTGTAGGGACTCTGTGAGAGGCTGTCCCCCTGCCTTGTCCTGCACACTCATAGACCAGAGACCACAGCCATCACCTCCACTGACCACGCACTGGGGCGGAAGAGCCTGGCTCAGACCCGCCCCTGCCCTCCGGGAAGTCCTTGCTGTTGGGAGTGAGAGCCAGGGAGACAGAGGGTTGAGGGATGGACCAAGGGGCCAGGAGGGAAAGGAGAGGGGCATTGGTGGGCACCTGGTAGGGTGGCTTTCCTGACCCACCTCTAATGGTGCAGGGTCAGCGGGATATGCCCCAGATGAGGAAGCGGGGCTCAAGAAACAGGCGGCCTGCACAGAGGTCTGGGGCAGGCAGTGAGTCCTGGAGGCAGCTGGCGGGCAGCACAGAGGGTTGTTACATGTTGGATTTGGGAGAATTCTGGGGGACGCATCCCGGCTTGTCCTGGCCCATGGCACCCTGTCATCACCTCCAGGCAGGTCCACACCTCTGAGTTGCCACCTGTAACCTCAGGGTTCTTCGTGTGGCCCCCAGATCTGTTGTCCTGAGGTCTCCCGCCCACCATTCCTCCATTCCCCCGCACCCCCGCAGCTGTCTGTCTGTCTCTGGCGGCAAGTGCAGATTTCAGCCCTGCTTATCTCCTAGTGAAGCGCCCTTGTCGTAAAATTGCCCACATTTGAAAAGTACTAACTCATGAAGCCGTCTCAGGCCGCGAGGTTGCAGATGGGCAGGAGAGCGTGAATCCCCACTCCCGCGTGTCTGCACCCCTCGGCCCCCACCACTGTGGCCGCGGCTCATGGCCCCATCTGCCTCCCCCCGGCTCCTGCACATCTGCCCTGCCTTCAGGGTCCAGCACCCGTGTTTGAGGAATCGAGTTCCCTTCCCATTGATTTGATTGATGGATTGATTGATTGGAAGGCAAGCAGAGCTGGCTCCCAGCCAGATTTGAGCGGGTTTCCTCCACTTCCAGCCCTCGTTCCTGGGCTCTGGTCCCGTTAGAGGGAATGATGTCCAATATTCATTCAACAAACACTTGCTGGGCACTCACTACGTGTCAGACCCTGTCCAGGCCCGGCATGCATGAGGGGTTGGGGGGGATGTAACCACTCAGTCCCTGCCTTAGAGGTGCTGACAGTGGGAGACAGACTCATAAATGGTGACAATATGATGTGTGAGGCGCTGAGGCAAGTTCAGCTGGGCTGTGGGAGCTGAGAGGAGCTGTGGCCAGCCCTATCGGGGGGTCAGGGAAGGCTTCCCGGGGGAGGGGGTGTTTGAGCAGGCCTTGAAGGGCAAGTGGAAGTCACTCCAGCAGATAGCAGATGAGCAGGGGGATCAATGTGACAAGAAGATGCTCACTCCAACTGGCTTCAGCCAGAGCAGGGATTCTAGGGGCAGCTCTGCCTTCCGGCCCGTGCGATCCCAGGCCACAGACGCCACCAGGACCCAGGACAAGTCAATCCCTGTCTGCCTGGGTTGTCTCCATTCTCCGGGCCCCTGCTTCAGACCTGTGAACGCCTTTCACTCGGCCTCCCTGTGGCCGACAAGGTCTGCTGGACTAGCCGGCAGAAAGAAGTTCTCTTCCCAGCAGCCCAGCCCAAATCCCAGGGTCCTGTCTGTTTGGACAGGGTGACAGGCCCATCTGGGAACCAGTCTGCGTCATATGCCCACCTCTGGGGCCAGAGATGGGGTCAGCTCACCTGGACGAATGACCATATGGCCTGGGCAGGGTGGGGGTGAGGCGTTCTCTGCAGAAAATCAGGTGCTGTTAGCCAGAGAGGAAGAGGACACAGAGCCTGGAACAGAATATGCAAATAGTCAAGATGCTGCCCCCTAGAGCACACCTGGAGGGAGGCCCTAGAGGCGAGGCCAGGTGGCAGCTCAGGCCCTGGGCCAGCAGGGCCCCCCCCACCAGGTGAAGGGCGTGGTACACTATCCTGCGGCACTCTCCCTGCCTGGGCCTGTGGAGCGGGACACCCAGGCCCCAAGAGGACCTACCAGATGCACATCTCCAGGGGATGAGCTGGCGCCAGGCTCCCCAAGACCGGCTGGGAGCACAGGTGTCCAGGGGCAAGGGGGCGCAGTGCTGGGTGAGCAGCCGGGGCAAGGTCAGGCTGCAGGGAGGCAGAGGCTGCGGGCCCCAGCCCCCTCCTGCACCCCATTTCAAATCCAGACCGTTTCTCAGGGAAGCAGACAAAGCAGGGACCTGCTGGCCCACCCCCTTTGCCGTGTCCCTCCACCCCTGGGCGGGGCCTATCTGCTCTTAGGAAGCAGTGAACCCCATGACACCCTACCCAGCCTTCCTCCCCCGCTCTGGGACCAAGGCCTCGCTCAGTAAATACAAGTTCATTAATAGCTTGATTAATCACACCTCATATTTTTGAGGTGATTTTAAAAATAAAACATTTGAAAGCACTTTCACACCCCGCCGGGCCTCAGAGTTACACGAGCAGGTCTCATCATCGCTGACTGCAGGTGTGGGAAGGGGACTCAGCATCCTAGCAGCAGCGTGTCAGGGTGTGGCAGGGGGCAGCCTCAAGGGCAGAGCCCTCTCCCTGCCCCTGGCTCTGCCTGTGGACCGCCCTGCGCTCTCTCTGGGTCTCTCTGCAGGACAAGAGAGAAGGGCAGATCTTCAGAAGTTCAAAGGAGAAGAAGGGGTGGTCATTCAGTCACTCAACAAACACTCCATCAGTATCCAGGCCAGACTTGGGCTCCATGCCCCCAGTGAGCTCATGCTCTAGTGAGGAAGGCAACGTGCAAACAAATCAACCCTAGTCCTGAATGTGGCCTGTATCCTGGAGGGAGGCTCAGGGGACAGGGTGACTTGAGCAAGTGACACAGAGTGTGGATCCAAGAAGGCCTCCTGGAGGAGGTGGCACTTTGCTGACACTTGAAGGCTGGATGGAAGTTCCCAGATGGACCTTGTGGGGCAGGTCCACCATGGTCCACTCCACTGAACCCCCACTCCGTCTCCCCGCTGCCACTCCTGCCTCCCTCCGCCGTTTCTCACGCAGGGAGATCTCATCACTCCCCTGCACGCAGCCCCCCAGAGGCTCCCCACTGCCCTTCCAATAAAATCCCAACTCCTTCCCGGACCCTCAAGACCCACGAGTTGGGCGCCTGCTCCCTCTCTGACCCACCTCCTATGAGTCCCCTGTGCTCCCCCAGCTCCGGCCACGCTGGCGTCCTCGGCATCCTCACACAAGCCTGGCTGCTTTCTGCCTGACCACCTCTGCTGTTCCCTTTTCCAAAAACCCTATTCCTCCAGGCCTGGCACTCGGCTCCGCTCAGATGTCACCTCCACAGAGAGACCTGCCCCAAGGCCCCTCCCCTCGAGAGCCCCCACGCCCACACCCTTCTGAAATAGCACCCCTTTTACCTGCTGCATAACCCGCGGCAACATCTGGGGTCCTCTGTTTTGCTTTGTTTCTCCGACTTGAATGGAAGCTTCTGAGAGCAGGGCTGTCTCTCGTGCCCCCTGCGGTCTCCCGGAACAGTTCCTGGCACTCCACAGTATTTGTCAAATGAATGATACGTTTCAGGTCGTGGGAGCACATTGGGGTGGGAGGAGAGGGGAGGATGGCATCTGTCACAGGCCCAGCTCTGGCCAAGGCCCGTCACCCAGGGGCCTCTTCCCCTACTCTGGTCCTGGCCTCCCCACACACACACACACACACACAGAGTCTTTCAAGCCCCTCTCCCTCGCTGTCCCTGAGAAGACACTGGGGGTTGGGACTGCTAGGGTTGCTTCCACCCTTAGTGGGGCGGCCAGAGCAGGGGTGCCAGCTGGGGCTGACTTGAGCACCTGTCCTCCTGAGACAGGTGGGGGCCAGCTGGCCAGCCCAAGGGCTCACTGGAAGAGGGGTTCCCACTTCAGGGCCTGAGCCATCCACACAGGCCTGTGCATCTGCAGTTGCCAGTGGCCAAGAGCCCATCGGGGAACTGCTAGTAAGTGAAAGAGGTCTTCTAACCAGATTCCAAGGGGGCACTGGGGCCAGGTCCTATGCGGGTGGGAGGGCCTTGGCCGGGGTGTGGTGGACGGAGCCTCTGGGGACCTAGGGGGTGGGGTTCGGGACATGACAGGGCCTGTGTAGCCAGTGGGCCCTGCCCCTGCCTACCTCCTGCAGCACCGGTGCATCTGCCCTGGCAGAGCATCCCGTCCATGCTCATTGCCTCAGCAGCCCTGCAGGGAGCAGCATTAGGCACCCCAGTCTGAGGCCCCAGTCGCCAACACTGGCACTAGGCAGCCTTGAGCTGGGTGGAGGGATCACGGATGGACAAGCTGGCGGTGGGGACAGCGGCCTCAGCCACCCACTTGCTTCTCCAGGGCATAGCTGCAGCCTGGACCCCTGGTCCACCTGATAAATGCCCTGTGGTAAGAGCTACAGTACCAGGGAGGACGGGCCTCAGATGCAGAGAGGGCAAAACGGTATGTGTGGTTTTCTAGGAGAGTGAGGTGGGGGAACCGTCTTTCCAGAAGTGACAGTGGAGCTGGGCCCTGAGGAGAAGGTAAGAAAGTGCTGGCAGAGGAGGGAGGGTGTTTCAGGCAGAGAGAAGAGCGTGGGCAGACCTGGCGATGGGAGGCAGTGCCTAGGAGAGATCAGTGGGTGTTTCTGCGTAGGAAGGCTGGAGAGTTAACGGGACAGAAGAGAAGGCTCAGGGATGCCAGCCAAAAGCACTAGGCCCCATCCTGAAACACCCATGGGAGCCAGGCAGACAATAGAAATAGACGAAGCAGGCCCAGGGTTGAGGTGATAGGGAGTGGTGGGGACTGTGAGGAACTGGCAAGGTGGCGCCCTGTTGAAAGGATCCTAGATCGTTTGGCACTGAGTATGTACTGCTGGGTGTTGTCTTTGATAGACAAGCACAGGATTCACGCTGGGTGAAGAGAAAGAATGCTCACTCTAGTGACCTGCAACATGGAGGGAAAGAGACCTAAGGCTCTTGCTGTGCCTTCAGGCAAGAGGCCTAGCTGGGACTGTGAGGGGCGGGCAGATGGCAGGTGCTGACCACAGAGGGGAGGTCACAGAGTGGTTCAGAGGCCAGAGGGAGGGGAAGTCAGCTCTGGCTGCCAGGCAGCTTCTGTAGCCCCAAGAGGACATCCAGTGGGGCGTGAATTTACCCCTACCCGAGACCTTAGAGTGTCCTGGCTAAAGGGCAGGGCTGCAGCCTGGACCCCTGGTCCACCTGATAAATGCCCCTCCCCAGGGTGAGGAGGGGAGGCCGCGCCGGCGTGGCATGACAGAGGCACCAGAGAAGTGAGCTATGTCCCTTATTGGTTACAGTACATTTATTTTTCATTAGCAGTTAAATGCAGACATGAGGGATTGTGCCGGGTTCAGTGGGTGGCTGACGCAAGCAGTGCCTGGCGCAGTGATCCATATGGAGGCTGGAGGGCCACATGCCCGCCCCTGCCTACACCCCCTGCCCGGGACCCCTGCCCACCCAGCCCTCCGCCAGTAGGCTGGCACAGGCTGTCCCACTGAGCCTCTGCAAGGTGAGGCATGGCCAGGCCTGGCACTTCCCATGCCATTCTGGAGCCTGTGACCGCTGTCCCCCTGGCCCCTGAGGGCCCTGCTCAGGGGTCAAGCTCGGCCATCCTCTGTGCAGCCTTGGAGGAGATGCTGTGGCTTCCCCACTAAGGGTCTAGAGAGGCCACTGGACCTACCAGCTCCCCCCTCCAGCCCACACTCAGGAGCCCGCCCTCCCATTCATTCTCTAGACCTTGGGAAGCCCGAGCCAGACTCAGCCCTGCCCTGGCTGAGTCTGCTGCCTGGGTCAGGGGCTGGCCAGTGGCTGCTGCGAGACAGTGAAGAGCAAATGTAATAACAGGAGTCACCAGACAGCCCCCGGACACTTTGTGAGTCCAGGGTCAGAGCTGGGAGGTCTAGGTAAGTGATCTCCCCCTCACACTTCAGATTCCCCATCTATAAGATGTAAGAGGGCTCTTCCCTCCAGCAGCACCCCTACCTTCCTCAGCCTACAACAGAGACCCATGGAGGGCACTGGCAGAGACCTGCGAGGTGGTCCAGGACAGGGCCGGGTGGGGCAAGGCGAGCTTTGTTTTCCCAACTGCAAGTGTGGTTCCCAGGCAGCCCAGCCTTCATTACGGAGCTGTGGGAATGTGCAGGGGGCGCGGCTGCCAGAGAAAGATCACAAGAGGGAGAGGCCAGGGGGAGGGGTGAGGCAGGAGGAGGGGTAGGTGAGCCCCGCTGCTGCAGATGCTGCCCTGCGCCCCTCCCACACAAGGACACGACTCCCCCCATCCCAAGGGCAAGGCCCCTGCCAGCTCTGTGCCTCAGTTTCCTCATTAGACCTTGCCCCTGAAGAGATTGCTGTGAGGGTTACTGAGCTGAGGGAGATGATTGTAAATGCAAAACCACTGGGTACTGATAGCAGCCAACATTTCCTGAGCACGGTGCCAAGTGCCGCCTTCACCACGTCCTCACAACAGCCCTGGGATCTGGGTACATCTCCCCATTCTGCAGGTGAGGAAACAGGCTGAAGTCACCAGGTGCTCAGCCTCTCGGCAGGCACTCCCCACTCACCCGAGCCGGCCCAGGATGCCTGCAGGACCAGGCAGATCCCCTCCCCAAGATCATGGTCTTGGGTGGAAGGGGCAGACTCCCACTTTGGAAAGAGAGGGTCCCTGTGCAAGCAGGAGAGAAGGGGCAGCATGGATGCCCTCTGGGGGTGGCGTTCAGGCCCCCAGGGGTTTTGGGATGCCCATGGGGAGGGTAGTGGAGCCACGAGGCTGACCATGTGAGGAGCCTCCAGAATCCCCCACAGGGTAGACGGGACCTCCACGTCACAGATGACGCACGGGTAACTCGCACAAGGTCCCCGCTAGCAAGAAGCAGATGGGTCTCTGAAGCCCAAGTTTTCCCCTCTTTATGCCCAGAGGCTCCTGTTGATTGTGTATGTGTGCTGGTGGGAGAATCACTGCAGCCCTGAGGGAGGCCAGGCCATCGGGGACCTGTTTGGTGGGGAGACTGTGGGTGCCCCCCCATCCTCCCAGCCCCACCCTCTCAGGGGTCCTGCTGGTCGAGCTGATGGTCAGACTACTGTGGGGGTTTACCTCCGCCAAGCCTCAGAGCCAATTACCTGTGTAAAATGACTTGTGGGATGGTTCTGATTTTCAGTTAAAATTAGAAGGAAACCCATATTCAGGTCTCCTTGAAGAGTGGGACATGGCCCAGGTCCCTCAGGCTCCCAGACAGACTCTCCTGGCTGCCACCCTGCCCAGGGCCCACCCTGCAGCCCAGGCTCACCCCCACGTACCCCTCCCTGGCCTCTCTGCAACAGCACTGCCACCGACACTCCCAGATGCCCCCTCCCCTCCTTCATTCACTTGATATTGTCTGAGCACCTACTACGGAAGTGGCCCTGGAGGCAGCCAGGACACCAGAGGAAAGGAGCCCTGCCCTCCCCTGCCCCAGGCTGCCCTGCCTGGGTCCTCTCCCTCCCTCCAGCTTTCCCCTGGACCTCCCAGAGTGTGGGCTGACTCACTAGGTCCCTGAGCTTCTACCTGGATGACAAGGAGCCCTGACTGCCACTGTGCACTGGAACTTCCACCCTTGTCTCATTTCATCTCTCGTGTTCACAAGTGGGTGGCATGCTTCTTCCCCCATTTTACAGAGGGGGACACTGAGGCTCGGGGAGGGGGTATTCCGCAGCCCAGATTGCCAGGCTAGAAGTGGCAGAGCCTGGCTTCACGCTACTCCCATCAGCCTGGCGGGCTGCCCCTGCATGGCCCAGCCCCAGCCCCTAGGCAGGCCCCACCCACCCCGCAGAGGCCCCACTCACCTTACCCCTTTGCCCCTGCTGCAGGTGCCCAGCAGAGTGCCACAGTAGCCAACCCGGTGCCCGGCACTAATCCAGACCTGCTTCCCCACTTCCTGGTGGAGCCTGAGGACGTGTACATCGTCAAGAACAAGCCGGTGCTGCTGGTGTGCAAGGCCACGCCCGCCACACAGATCTTCTTCAAGTGCAACGGGGAGTGGGTGCGCCAGGTGGACCACGCGATAGAGCGCAGCACAGACGGGAGCAGCGGTGAGCCGGGCGGGCAGCCAGGCGGGGCCACGTGAGGGGGAGTGGAGCCAGCCTCAGAGGAAATGGGGGCCCACAGAGGGGCCTGCAGTTGCCCCTTCCCCACAAGCAGAGGCCAGGATGTTACCAGCTCTGTGCCCACCATGGCAGATGCCCAGGAGATGCAGGACTCCCACACCTGTACCCTGGGGCCTTCCCTGGGAGGTCCCACCCTCACCAGACCTCACAGCTTGGTGGGGGGGGTGAGAGGGAAGCCCCCTGCAAATGTCCCAGGGAGCTGTGGGGGTGGGGGGGACAGGTCCTGCCACTGTGTCTGAGCCCGGGCTGGGCCAGGGGCAGCCTGGTGAGCAGTGCCAGCAAGGAAAGGGGGTTTGGAGGGTCCCAGATAATCAAAGAGCTCATGAAGCTCATGTTCTGTAACTGTTTAACTTATGCATCCATTAGTTCATTCATTCATTTGCTCATTCCCTGAGCATCGACTCCCAAGCTGGGGACACAGTCCCCATGGAGAGGTGGGCAGCTCCCTGTGGGGAGCGAGAGAACAGTAGGACCGAGGCTGCCCAGGGAGGTGACCTGTAAACCGAGGGGGCATAAGAACTGGTGAGGGAGAGAAGAGAGAAAGGGTGTCCCAGGCGTCCCAGGGGGCAGAGCACAAGCAGAGGCCTGGAGGGACGGGCGTGCCGGTGAGGGTCAGCAGGGAGGGTGTGGGTTGTGCGTAGGGGGCAGGGGTGCCATCCAGGAGCCTCATCCATCGGGCTCTGGAGTGAGGTCACAGTCCCGTGGGATTTCAAGCTGCCAAGTGACTTGGCCAGAGCTATGGGTAACACTCGGGGGGCCAGTATGGGGGCTGACACCAAAGAGAGGGAACCAGTGGGACTCGGCTGAGATGTGGAAGGAGGGGTTCTGGGGGCAGTGGGCACACCCAAGAAGTGTCCCTTCATGGGACGCCCCATGCCCCGTGCCAGCCCTGTCCTTAGGCAGCAATGGGCAATGGGGACGTGGGCAGAGAGCCCTTGTTTGGGTTCCTGCACTCCCCAAGGGTAGGCTGGCCAAGCTGACAACAGCCTCTCCTCCTCCTCACTTACTGGACCCCAGTTAAGTTCATTTCCTCTCCCTTCACCTTGGCGCTTTGTGGAGCGCCCACACAGAGGAGGCCTCAGGTTAAGTCCTGAGCCCCTTCCCACCGGGCTTCCGCCAGCCTGAGACACAGCACACACCCTGTGGGGAGTATGGCCACCAACGTGAGCCAGCATGAACCGCGGTGCAGCTGGGGACAGGATGCCAGGCCCAGGACAACTCACACTGATGCCGAGGGCAGGCAGGGGACCAAAGGCCCAGAGGGGTGGCTGGTGCCACCAGGCAGGAGGGGCTGGGTAGCCCAGGAAGGATTCCCAGAGGAGGGGTAGTGTCCAAACACCGGTCTTAAAACCACCTGGAACCAGCATTTCCCAGGGCCAAGGACCGGAAGGTGCAAATGCAGGAAGGGCAGGCTGGCGGGGCTGGGGTTTGGGGCGGGAGGCAGGCAGCAGGAGGAGGAGGCTGTGGGAGGTCGGTGCTGGGCAGAGGGGACCTGGAGGAGGGCCTGCCTGGGGGCGCTGCTGGGCAGCTCTCTAACAGTGCGGATGTACGAGAGCAGCCCTGGGCTTGGGCAGCATAAGGTTTAGTCCTCAGAACCAGCCTGTCGAGTTACAGATGGGATGGAGACCTTGGCTCTGACTCATCCAGGGCCCCTAAAGGGCTCCAACCAGGTGTTCTCTTCCGCGGAAGTCACACCCCATCGTCCCCACCAGGGTCCAGCGGGGGCTAGTCTCCTTCCCCTCAAGGGTCAGGCCCTCGGTTAGTGATTCCTGCCCTGGCCCACACAGTCCTGCTGCTTGCAGCCTCCTTCCTGCAGGCCTCAGGGGTTAACTGAGCACCTGCTCTGTGCCAGGCCTGGGTCAGGTGCTAGGAATTCAGTCCCCAAGGCTCTCAGGGCAGGTGATGCAGCTCTGCCTCCCACCTTCAGAAGAGGGATGGAGAGGACAGTGCCCTCTGTGGCCCAAGAGAGTCCTGGGCCCCATCAGCACCTCCCAGGGCCAGGGCCTCCCCCAGCCCAGCAGAGACACCAGAAGCCTCTCTGGCCACGCAGGCAGCTTGTAGGGCCCACATTGTCCAGGTGCAAGGGTCTGCCTCCCCTCGGGCAAGTCCCCTCCCTCCCTGGGCCTCATCTGTAAAAAGGGGATGAGGAGGGCCCACTTGCAGGTTGGTGGGGGAGCTGTGAGATCTCACACACCCAGTTCCAGGCCTTTCTTCTCTCCCCACCCCAAACCCAGGGCCCAGTGCCACTTTGCAGCAAGGTGAGTCCCACTGCTGTGGCAGATCCCCCAGGGAAAGGACAGGTGAGGAAGAGGAAGCCACAGCCAGAGACCTGTCTTCCTGCAGCCTTACAGAGCCTGTCCTGGAACCTCTTGGAAGGCCCCAGGCCGGTCCACTGCTGCTCCCAGCCTCCCCTTCCAGGCTCTCCACGCACACCCCACCTTGTCTCCTGCTATCCCAAGGTCTGGATTCTGTGCCTGCGTAGCAGTCACAGGCCAGGCCACATTCACACCAGGGCCCCCCGGCCCACACTGGCTGCCCTGGCCTTGCTCCCTTCAGGCCAGTCAGAAAGCAGAGCTCATGGGGACACACCCCACCCATAAGGACCTGGGCCCTTTCTTGCCTTGAGCCCCCAGTCTCAGGCCTCCCGTGGCCAGCACATCTGAATTTTCGGTGATCTTGTTGATTTCTCAACCCAAAGCCATTGAGTGCTTTGAGGTGAAGAGGTAGGCTTCCCTCACTTACCCACAAACACATGCCATGGTGGTGGGTGGTAGCACCACGTGTGCACACACAGACCAAAGACCCTGACCCAGAAACGTTCTGTGGTCAGGCAGGGATGGGGGAGTCAGAGGTCAGCCCAGATCTGTAGCCCCACCCACTCCTGTCTGGGGCTAGGGGAAGCCGGGTGGACACCCCAGGACATAGCATCCCTGTCTCCCCCTCACCCCTCTCTCCCCAGAAGGCTGGGGGAGGGACCAAAGCCTGAAAACCCTCAGACCCAAACCTGCTGATGATGCTGTCCAAGCCCGAAATTTGGAAACCAAGCACTGGAGCCCAGTTTGGGGATGTAATTTATTGTGTGTTAAACAAACTGTTTGGTTATTGGAAGCAGATTGGAGAGAAAGTGAGAACCGAAGCCTAGGCTTAGCCTCAGAGCACACACCCCACCCCCTTCCCCCGCCAACCTTCCACCTCCCAGAAACACCAAGCACGCCCACACCGGGACCCCCCACGTGCCCATGGCATCCACACACCCGCTCACACCCCACCCACTCCAGGGCCAACAGGGGCCCGCCTCCTTCCTCCCCGGCCCTTCCCCGAGGCTGGCATCCGCTCACACTTACAGGCAGGTGCAGACGCAGCCATGCCCAGAAACTGCTCAGTGACCTGCAGGGGAGGTCACAGCCCCTCACATCAAGGCCCCGGCAGGGCAGGGCATGGGTCTTCCTCTCGGTCCCCTGCCCTCCTGGAGCATGTGGGGCTTAAGGGCACTGCCTGGAGCTGAGACATCCGTTCAAACTTGGCCCTCATTCATGGCAGCAGGAAGGAGCCGAGGAGGAGGCAGGACATAGGTGGGAAGAGATGGGAGAGAGAAATAGGAGCACTTAAATTTAGTACGAGTGAGTTGCCTGGGTAGCATGTGAGCTCCCCACCCCCTCGGGGGATGGAGTGAGCCATCAGTAGACCCGTCCACCTGGGAGAGAAAAAGTACCCAGTTCAGAATGTTCTGGAGGTCTTCACCACTAACCCCAGAGGCCAAGGAGAGCCCTGCCTCCACCCCTGGGTGTGTGCATGGCTCCTTCTCAGATGACCAAGGTGTGCTTGACAGGCAGCTGGTGCCCAGGGCCCCGCTCCTATGCACAGACCCTGTGAGGGACCCTCAGTTCTCAGCCGTCACCCCAACCCCAGAGAAGGCGCACATCCGGGCGCATTAGAGAATGGGAGAGAAAAGGGGCAGCAGGCAGTATCCAGAACAGAGGGAACTGGCCCAGCAACAGTGACCTCAACCAGAGGTGACACCCCCATCTCCTGTGAGAACTAACTGGGGGCAGGGGCGAATAATAGAAAAATCTGGGGACCCAGTGTGGCAGCCGGAGAGGCTCATGGGGAGGGGTCTGGGCAGGGGTCAGGAGAGAAATGAAGAGGGATAACAGCCTCCCGGCTGCCTGCTGGGCTGGGCTGCTCCTGCAATGCAGCCCTAATTGAATTTCTCTGTTAACAATAGAAACACAATGGCAGCAGGCCTCTCTCCCTTTTTCTGATAAGCCAATGACCCGAGGGAAATTGGGGTCAGGAGGAGGAGAAATTGGAAACAGTCTTTTCTCACTCCTGGAGTCACTGGTTTTGGCAGAGGGCCAGGGGGCTGGAGGAGGGCTGCCCCCCCCCCACCCCACCCCCGGGTCCTCAGAGCGTCCAAGCCCTCCCCGAATGCCCCATTCCCTGGGTCTGGGTGGCGCACAGGGCAGGTGCTGAGTCCATCCTTGAGAGGGTCACCCCAGCGCAGCCCAGTCGGGGTAGAGTGGGTTCCCCGAAGCCCACCACACACCAGCTTCGCCCCAGGGGCTGCCCCCTCTCCCTCGCCAACATTTCTCCCTATGGGATGGGCACCCCCAGCCTGAACACACTCTGGGTTCAGACAGCCCAGGCCTCAGTTAGCCACGGCCTCTCTGAGCCTCTGTTTCTCCTCCACAGAATGGGAGCAATGCATCCAAGGGCACAGATTGAGAAAGATAACAAGCTAGCATGTGGGAAACCCCTGCTAAGTCCCAGGGGTCTATCATCATACTACATAATCACTGTAATTATATTGTTAATAGCTGTTATTATATTATCACATGTCACGATCTACCTGCTAACTCCCAGGGAAGTGAGCCAGATCTTTCCTCACTGTTTTTTACCCACAAAAGCCCCAAGGCTGGCCTGTCTGCCGGGGGTTCTTGGAGGCCAGTCTCTGTCACCCAAGGCTCCTCTGTGCCGTTGTCTCCGAAACAACAGGAAGCCCCTTTAGGGACATTTCTGTAAGTGACTCCAGGGAGACCGGCCTTGGGTAACCAAGTATAATGCATGGAAGTGCTGAAGACCCACTTCTGGCCTTCAGGAGATATGAAGGGAGTTTCCTGTGGGTCCCCTGGACTGAGCCCCCAAATCCTGGCTGCTCTCCTGCCTAGCAGAGGGAGTGGTTGTGGGTAGTACAGGGACCCCAAACATCGAGACTGGACAGCGAGGCCTGTGCAGGGCTCAGTGTGGCCCCTGGGCCCTCCCGCCCCCAGGGCTGCCCACCATGGAAGTCCGCATCAATGTCTCGAGGCAGCAGGTGGAGAAGGTCTTTGGGCTGGAGGAGTACTGGTGCCAGTGTGTGGCGTGGAGCTCCTCAGGCACCACCAAGAGTCAGAAGGCCTACATCCGCATCGCCTGTGAGTTCAGGGCCTGGCCTGGGGGGGCAGCCCTAGGGTGTCACCAGGGGAGGGGGTCTGCTCAGAATTCCTCAGGTCTTGCCTTGATGGGTGGGGGAAGTGCCTATGCACTAACAACCCAGACACTCCCATGTCCCTCTGGGCACTCGGCACTTCCTCCCACCATGTACCATGGCCCCTGCGGGACTGGGGGACAGGGCTGGCCAGGCTGACCCAGCGTGAGGCAGCCAGGCTGGAGGACACTCTTGTTCTCCTCCCAGATTTGCGCAAGAACTTTGAGCAGGAGCCACTGGCCAAGGAGGTGTCCCTGGAGCAGGGCATCGTGCTGCCCTGCCGCCCGCCGGAGGGCATCCCCCCAGCTGAGGTGAGAGGGGCTCCGATGCCACTCCACAGGTGGGCAGTGCTCCCAGGTCTCGGGTCCCACCTGCCCAGCCCTCCAGGCTGACCCCTCAGGGGCCACTTTCACTCCAGGCAAGGCCAGTGTGGGCAAGCAGTGCAGTGGTGTGGCTCCCTCCCCCAGGTGGAGTGGCTCCGGAACGAGGACCTGGTAGACCCATCCCTGGACCCCAATGTGTACATCACGCGAGAGCACAGCCTGGTGGTGCGACAGGCCCGCCTGGCTGATACGGCCAACTACACCTGCGTGGCCAAGAACATCGTAGCACGTCGCCGCAGCGCCTCTGCTGCTGTCATCGTCTATGGTGGGCCCCGGCGCTGGCGGGGCGGAGGGGCTCCTGGGCACAAGAGAGGCACCGGAAGTGTCATGGGGCAGCCATGTGTAGCTGGCTCCTGGAGAGCCAGGGCCAGTGGACCAGACCATGGCCTGACTGGGCAGAACAGGGAGAGGGCTTGCTCTGGCTGTTGGGGAGGTGAGAGGCATGTCTGGGCCGAGGTGTGGGGCAGGTTGGTGGTCATCTGTGGCCGGACCATCCCTTGGCTTACTTGTGGGCAGGGGACATTGTGCAGAGGGTGATGAGAGGACAGGATGGGAGTCTAGGAAAGGCGACAGACCACAGCCTGTGCTCCTGTGTCCCCGGCATGGGAAATAGAGTGTCCCAGGCACCCCCGGGAGCAGGCAGAGGGAGGGATGTGGGAGTTGCCCCCATGAAAGGCTGGGGTCTGGGCCGCAGGAGCATGAGAGCTGCAGCTAGGGCTGGCTGCCCTGAGCACCTGCAGTACCCGCTGGGAGAAGGGGCTATGGAACGGGTGCTGCCAGGCTCTGAGAACAGTGGGGACAAGCATGGCCTCCCCTCAGGGCTTCTCTCCTAGCACAGCCGCAGCCCACCCACTTCCAGCTTACAGCCCCTCTGCCCTCCTGCCTCAGCCCCTGAGCCAGTGTGTATGAGGAAGCCCCTGCTCCCTGACCCCAGTCCTTCTCTGTCCGGCCAGTGAACGGTGGGTGGTCGACGTGGACCGAGTGGTCCGTCTGCAGCGCCAGCTGTGGGCGCGGCTGGCAGAAACGGAGCCGGAGCTGCACCAACCCGGCGCCTCTCAACGGGGGCGCGTTCTGTGAGGGGCAGAATGTCCAGAAAACAGCCTGCGCCACCCTGTGCCCAGGTACCAGTGGCCGCTGCCTCCCGCATCGCTCCTCACCACGCCATCTCTCTGCCCTGGCTCCATCACGCCCACCAGCCTGCCCCCATGGCTCCATCCCACCCGCCCGCACGCAGGGCCAGGCTCAGTCTGAGGCCCGGATGGGGTTCAGTGTGATCGGAGGCAGGACTCAGTCTGTGTCCAGGCTCAGCCTCAGCAAAGGGGCTGAGTCACAGGGTCTGAGGTACAGTCAGTGTGGGGCAGGGGCAGGCCCCAGGCTGGGGCTGCAGAACCACCTGTGCCTGGGATCAGAGGGTCATTGTGCAACCAAGCACCCTCACTGCCCCAGGGCCAGGATGGCCCCTTGGTGTGGGTAGAGCCAAGCAGGCCTGGTGTCATCGTGCCTCTTGTCATTAGCATGCATCATCCAGGCCAGCTGGACACCAGAGGGCGTGCAGACTGGTGGGCCTGGGCCTGGCCCTGGCATTGCACCCAGCGAAGCTGCACCAGCAGACTTTCTGGGCTCGCTCCCTGGGCTGACCATGCCGTCTCCTCTCTGTGTCTATCTTGCGTCTAGTGGACGGCAGCTGGAGCCCGTGGAGCAAGTGGTCAGCCTGTGGGCTTGACTGCACCCACTGGCGGAGCCGCGAGTGCTCAGATCCAGCGCCCCACAACGGAGGCGAGGAGTGCCGGGGCGCTGACCTGGACACCCGAAACTGTACCAGCGACCTCTGCGTGCACAGTGAGTCCTCTCTGCCCCGGAGTCCTCTTCAGTTGGCCAGGATTGGACCTGCCCAGCCCTGGGGAGGTGGTGGCTAAGGGAATCAGTCCCCTGCCACAGGCTGCATCCCTCTCCAAAGCTCAGGACCCTCGGGGACTCCCTCATCCCAAACGCACCCACACATATGCCCACCCACGACCCAGTACCTCCCACGCCTCCCCTGAGACATGCATACATTTGAACCTTGACTGTGCACACATAGACCCCGGGATCATCTCCCAAACCCCTCTCCCTTTCCTCCTGCAGCTTCATCTCCACCCCGTGCCCCAAGTGCACACGCAAGTCCTGTGGGAACGCAGGGCTTGTGAGGCTTGTTAATTACAAGGCCATAACTAACAATTAAAGATCTCTGTTGGATTTTTTTCCCCAAGAACACACCCTCCCCCATTCTTTCAATTAAAAACCTAATTATCTGTGTCAATTCCTTTCTGATGGACATTTCTTCCATTATGCAAAGCCTTCTAAAATCAATATAGCTTCCTCCAGGCAGTCAATCACCCCCTCCCTGGCCCTGCTCCAGGCCTGGAAGAGGCAGACAAGAAGAGCCCTGGCACCCCTGTTCCTGGCCCAGGAACTGGCTAGGAAGCAGATTGGCAGAGCCCCAGGAAGCAGATCCCCTGCTTTGGGGATCTCACCCCCAGTCCCAGCTGCCCTGGGCCCTAGAAGAGCGGGTTCAACCAGCAGCCCAGCATCAGGCCACCTGGGGAAGTGTCTCTTTCCCCTCCTCGGTTCTCCGGCAGCAGCAACCTCAGCCTGACTCGAGCCCGTGAGGGATGCGATTTGCTCAGTGACATAGCAAGGTGGTGGCAGCTGCAGGGCTGGGATGCACGCCTGCTCACTCCATGCTCCCTGCTGCCAGCGCCCGCTGCCCTGCTAGTACCGATGCCCAAGGAGTGGAGGCCTCATCCTCCTGGGGTGTAGACTGCTGACCTCTCCTTCCCGGCCTCCCGCACCCTGCCCCTCCCAAGGCCGCACTCTCTCCCGCAGCTGCTTCCGGCTCCGAGGACGTGGCCCTCTACGTGGGCCTCATTGCGGTGGCCGTGTGCCTCCTCCTGCTGCTGCTTGTTCTCATCCTCGTTTATTGCCGCAAGAAGGAGGGGCTGGACTCGGACGTGGCGGACTCGTCCATCCTCACCTCAGGCTTCCAGCCCGTCAGCATCAAGCCCAGCAAAGCAGGTGGGGTGCTCCCTGCCCCCAGCACTCCTGCGAGGCCCGAACGCCAAGGGCTGCCCGGATGGGGCTGCCCCAGTGCCACTCCTTGAGTCTTTTTATCCTTGCAGACAATCCCCATCTGCTCACCATCCAGCCAGACCTCAGCACCACCACCACCACCTACCAGGGCAGTCTGTGTCCCCGGCAGGAGGGGCCCAGCCCCAAGTTCCAGCTCACCAACGGGCACCTGCTCAGCCCGCTGGGTGGTGGCCGCCACACGCTGCACCACAGCTCACCCACCTCTGAGGCTGAGGACTTCGTCTCCCGCCTCTCCACCCAGAACTACTTCCGCTCCCTGCCCCGCGGCACCAGCAACATGGCCTATGGGACCTTCAACTTCCTCGGGGGCCGGCTGATGATCCCTAATACAGGTGGGAAGGGCCCCAGAGTGCCCCAGGGAGCTCTAAGGAGCCAGGCTGGTCTCTGTGCCCCTCCTGGAGGAGGACGGGACAGCCCTGATGGCCTCCTGTGCTGCTCGGCCTCACCCGAGTGCCGAGCCAGGCCAGCAAGGAAAGGGGAGCGAGTTTTGGAGAGGATCCAGTCATCACTGGCAGTGGGGCCAGCGCTGAGGCCGTGGTCGGAGCTTGTCTCCCTTCCGTTGCCTGAGGGCACAGGCCTACTGTCCGTTCCGTTAAACAGCTGGCCAGCCTGTATGTGCTGGACTCTGCTGGGCCCTGGGCCCAGTGGGAGGGCAGGTACTGGTCCCGAGATGCTGGCGAACTAGAGGAGAGAGAGGAGAGGACAAATGCCTGGACAGGGGGCCCCTCCACCCACCACCTCACGGAAATGCCTCCAACAGCCTCCCCAAGTCACCTTTTTTTTTTTTTTAACAATAGGAACTATTAAGTTTTATTTATTTATTTTTTGTGTGTGAGGAAGATCAGCCCTGAGCTAACATCCATGCTAATCCTCCTCTTTTTGCTGAGGAAGACTGGCTCTGAGCTAACATCTATTGCCAATCCTTTTTATTTTTTCCCCAAAGCCCCAGTAGATAGTTGTGTGTCATAGTTGCACATCCTTCTAGTTGCTGTATGTGGGACGCGGCCTCAGCATGGCCAGAGAAGCAGTGCATCGCTGCGCCCGGGATCCGAACCCGGGCCGCCAGTAGCGGAGTTTGCACACTTAACCGCTAAGCCACGTGGCTGGCCCCCCAAGTCACCTTGATAGAGAATCCATGGACCCTTTCCAAGGTCATCTTTTGAGAAAGCACCGCAGCCTCTAGCGTGGGTGGCCACGCTCACCCTGAAATTCTCTATTTCCTCAGCTTAGATGACCCCGCGTGCCCCTGATGTTCTTGCCCCTCTCCAGCTGCTCCTGCTGCCTGCCCCCTAAATGGAGGCGTTCCTCAGAGCTCCATCCCGGCGCCCTGTCCATGAGCCATCTCGCCCACTCCATGGCTTTAATCGCCATGTCTGTGCAGATCACTCCCACTCCTCTGTCCCCAGCCGCAGTTCTCTTGGGCGACAGAATCGTACACCCAGCTGCCTCCTGGGCAGCTCCATCTGGATGTCTCACAGCACCTCAGATTAATCATGCCTAAAACAGCACTGTCTCCCACCCTCCCCCAGAACCTCCTGCTTCCCGGCTTTCCTCACCTCAGGGACAGCGCAGTTGAGTTGCTCAAGCCAGAAACTGGGGGTCACCTTGACCTCCTTCTCTTCCTCACTTGCCCGCTCACCTCCACACCAGCTTCAGTCACACACCAGGTCCCGCCGTTCTTCCTCCTCAAATGCTCCTGCTCCCTCCAGCCTCTCGGCTTCTCCACTAACTCTTGTGGCCCAGGCTACCACACTTACCTCCCGTCTGGTTCACGGCTCCAAGCATTCACCAAATGAAGCCAGACTTGATCATGTCCCTCCTCTGCTCAAGGTCTTTCGGGGGCTCCTGCTGCCCCCCCACAAAGGCCACAATGACCCATTCCCTGCTGGCCGCCTGCAATGGCCTTTTCCCTCCCATGCACGCTTCTACATGTGGCAGCCATGATGGGCTCTCAGCCTCCCAAACACACTGTGCTGCCCTTTGCACGCACGGGCCCTCAGCCCCATCCACTGGCTCTGCTGCTACTTCTCCTTCAGGTCTTGGCTTGGCAGCTCTCCCTCTGCCTTGTGTCTCCCTCTGTGAGTGGTATGGTGATATTCCCCTCACAGGGCTATGGGGATTAGGAGATGAGATGGTCCATGCCAACCTCTTAGAAAGGGGCAGGCACACCATGGGTGTTCAGTGACCATCGACCCTGCGTTCCCCTGGCAGGGTGGGTGGGTTGCTGCTCCTCCCCACTCTCCCTCAGCCCCCAGCATCCTTTGCTGCCATCCACTTGTCTTTCTCCCCATGAGGCCAAGTGCTTCCTGAAAGCAGGGCCCGTGGTTTTCCCTCAGCTTCCAGAGTACTCGGCATTCACATTCATTGAATGCGTATGCGAGCGTATGTACCTCCACCACAGAGAGCATTCACGCTCAGATCTCAGACTGTCACCAACACTGGCAGCCGATACCAGGAGGTAGCTTGGGCTAGTGAAGGGGGAAGTAGTTGTAAATATGCCATCTCTGGCTTCCTTCTCCTGGGCTTCAGTTCCTGGGAAGTAGTGATATTCCAGCCAGCCCACCTCAGAGTTGCCCACTCTAGAGAGCATGCATATGCCCTTGGACTTGGTGGGATAACCAGAGAATTTCTTCCCCTCTCCCTGTCACGAGCCTGAGAGGCCCCTCCTGATATAGGGGTTCCCTGTCCTAAAAGGGCAGGAAGATGGGACAGGACCACTCCCTGTTGTCCCCAGAGTAGCTGCCCAGTCCCTGTCCTTGCCATATCCTGCCCCACTGCCTCTGCCCTGGAACCACTCCTCCCTCAGCAGACACTTTCTGATGCTGCCTCTGCAAGGTGCTGGAGCAGTGGTGAATCAGCTAAAGAGGAGGACACATGTGCAATGGCTCCCAGACCAAAGAGAGCTATCGAAGCGGGCAAAGTTGTTAAAGGTCCTGGCCCCACCTGCAGGGGGCCACTGCCCAGCAGGGAGCAGACTCCCCCCAAGGTGGGGTGCCCACCAGAGTTGGCTGGGCCGATGGAGAGGGGAGGAGCTCAAGCAGGGCAGGAGGGTAGGGCACCCAGGAAGAAGTGTGCTCAGGGCAGTGATTCCAGAATGGCTGAGTATGCAGCACTGTTTGGGCTGAAGATGCTGCTGGAAAGGCCACTGGGGCCAGAGGCAAAGGGCCTCGAATGCCAGGCCAGGGAGCTGGACTTTATCCTGGAGGCAGGGAAGGTTTTAAGCAGGAATTGCCTGGTCCCACCAAGTGCCTTTTGGGTAATGGAGGAGGTAGGCACAGCATACCTGGCTCCCTTGGTTCCAGAGTTTTCTGTGCCCATGCTAACTAGGCATGCTTTTCCCCCCTGGGTTCCCTCAGCTGCTCTTGGGGTCACCACGACTCAGCTTCCTGCCTGTGTGGGTGGTTGGACATCCTGGCAGTCCCTGTGGCACCTCTGTCCCCAGGCCAGGCTGACATCAGTCAGTCCTCAAAGGGAGGCTCGTGGAGGGGCTGGCCGAGGGGCGTGTTTCGTGTCTTTGCAGATGTGGTAAGCCCCGGCCCTCCTCCCGCCTTGTCACAGGGATCAGCCTTCTCATCCCCCCAGACGCCATACCCCGAGGAAAGATCTACGAGATCTACCTCACACTGCACAAGCCGGAGGACGTGAGGTGTGGGCGTGGGCCCTGCTGCTGGGCTGGGCGGGTCCTGCCCCCTGCCTCCAGCCTCCAGTCACTGTGATGCCCCTGCCCGCCCACTGTCGGCCCTCATCCTGCCTGGCCTGAGGGAGGACAGGGGAAGAGCTGCCCCTTAGCTCCACCCAGTTCTGTGGCCCTGACCCCAGGGTGCCACTGCCTGCCCCAGCCTGGCTCCCAGGACGGCCCACTGATTCCTTTCTTTCCCCACCCGTGTTTCCCCACTTGAGGTTGCCCCTAGCCGGCTGTCAGACCCTGCTGAGTCCCATCGTTAGCTGCGGGCCCCCCGGAGTCCTGCTCACTCGGCCCGTCATCCTCACCATGGACCACTGTGGGGAACCCAGCCCCGACAGCTGGAGCCTGCGCCTCAAAAAGCAGTCCTGCGAGGGCAGCTGGGAGGTGAGCAGGAACAGCCCCCAGCCCGCCCACCAGAATGCGGGGCTCCAAGTGGAGCTTGGGCTTCCCTCCTGGCTCTGGAGCCATGCCCCCCTCCCCAGTCTCTGGCCACTCCTCAGAGCTGCTGTTGGCCTCGAGCTGACCCATCGGGCCCTGCCCGCAGGACGTGCTACACCTGGGCGAGGAGGCGCCCTCCCACCTCTACTACTGCCAGCTGGAGGCTGGTGCCTGCTACGTCTTCACCGAGCAGCTAGGCCGCTTCGCCCTGGTGGGAGAGGCCCTCAGCGTGGCGGCATCCAAGCGCCTCAAGCTGCTTCTGTTTGCCCCCGTGGCCTGTACCTCCCTCGAGTACAACATCCGAGTCTACTGCCTGCATGACACCCATGACGCACTCAAGGTACCACCTGCCCCCACGGGCCCGGGTCAGGGGGAGGCAGTGGAGAGGGGCCCTTCCAGGCTCGGCTGACCACCTGGAGTGCTGCAGGAGGTGGTGCAGCTGGAGAAGCAGCTGGGAGGACAGCTGATCCAGGAGCCTCGCGTCCTGCACTTCAAGGACAGTTACCACAACCTGCGCCTATCCGTCCATGATGTGCCCAGCTCCCTGTGGAAGAGCAAGCTCCTTGTCAGCTACCAGGTGAGGCCCCTCAACGTGCCTGGAGCTGGGCACACCTGCCGCCGGGTACACCTGACCCCACCTCTGTGCCCCCCCGCAGGAGATCCCCTTTTACCACATTTGGAACGGCACACAGCAGTACCTGCACTGCACCTTCACCCTGGAGCGTGTCAGCCCCAGCACCAGTGACCTGGCCTGCAAGGTGTGGGTGTGGCAGGTGGAGGGCGATGGGCAGAGCTTCAACATCAACTTCAACATCACGAAGGTGGGCAGGAGGGGGCTTCAGCACTGCTGTAACGTGCTCCCCACTGGGCCCACCCTGCCACCAAGCCCACCTCCTCCAGAAACCACTTGGCACCTTCCTCCAAGCCTCCCGGGGAGGGAGGTGCAGATGCAAACACAGACAGATGCAATCGGACTTGGGATGGGGGTTGAAGAGGATGTAGGAGCAGCCAGAGGGGAAGCCGAGCCGAGCCGGCCTGGGGACCCTGGGGGGCTTCCTTGAGGAGGGACTTTGTACTTGGCCTCTAAGGATGAGTCAGAGTTAGAAGAACAGCAGCGAGGGACAGGGCGTTTCTGGCAGCACTGAGTTCTGAGTGGTCACCAGAGGTGTCTTTGGGGAGGGGTGGTGGGAGGGAAGGAGGAGAATGAGGCCAGTTGGCTCCTCTGCTCACTGGCTGTGTGACTTTGGGCAGGTCACTGCCCCTCTGAGCTCCAATGAGCAGGTTCCTGACACACCAGGGGAGCCTGGGAAGCACCAGTGCCCACGCCAGCCCCATGCTCTGGGCTCTGGGGGGGTCTGGGAGGTGGCAGTGGGCTTGGGCTGGGGAAAGTTCTAACAGACACCTCCACCCCTCCCTGCCCCCAGGACACAAGATTTGCTGAGCTGCTGGCTCTGGAGAGTGAAGGGGGGGTCCCAGCCCTAGTGGGCCCTAGTGCCTTCAAGATCCCCTTCCTCATTCGGCAGAAGATCATTGCCAGCCTGGACCCACCCTGTAGCCGCGGTGCCGACTGGCGGACTCTGGCCCAGAAACTCCACCTGGACAGGTGGGTGAGAGATGGGCAGGGAGGGACTTCACAGGCCACCTACAGTCCAGCCTGGGTGGGTAGGATAGGTGGGGTGGACAGGACACCCTGTGGGGCTTATGCCCCAGCTGCTAGCAGCCTGGGTGTCCAGTGTGCTTGGCTGAGGGGAAGCCCTGCCCTTGGGTGGGCTGGGGGGCAGGAGCCAGCAGCCCGCTGACAGGCTCTCCTCCACTCCCCTTCACAGCCATCTCAGCTTCTTTGCCTCCAAGCCCAGCCCCACAGCCATGATCCTCAACCTGTGGGAGGCCCGGCACTTCCCCAACGGCAACCTCAGCCAGCTGGCTGCAGCAGTGGCGGGACTGGGCCAGCCAGATGCTGGTCTCTTCACGGTGTCAGAGGCCGAGTGCTGAGGCCAAGCAGGCCCACAATGCCTACACTCTCACCAGCTTTGGCAGCCACCAGGGACAGACAGAAGCCGGACAGGGCCCCTTCCCCCACACTGGGGAGAGATGTGCGGACAGGCCTCCTCCTGGTGGATGCTGTCTCCTAACACTGGCCCTTGTGTAGTGCCCTGCCCACACTCCCACCCCTCCACGGCCTGCCTGGCCAGCCTGGCACTGCCACCTGCTATGACTGTGCCCCAGCCCCCAGGGTCCAGGGTAGACAGTGCCCATCTGAGTGTGTGTGTGTATGTACGTGTGATGCTACCTCTCCTCCTGCCCCTGGCCAGGGGCCGCATGCACACGAGCATGCACGCACACACTGGGCTTGGGGCGTGGCTCCCAGAGCGCCTGCCTGTGCTGGACCTTATGCAAACATTTCTGTGCCTGCTGGGTAGGGGCACATCTGAGGGGCCTGGCTCCAAGCCTGCGGGACCGAGGGCCATAGCCAGACAGGGGGCGGCCCCTGGATTCAGGCACATGACCCACACACAGGAGGCATGTGCCTACGCATGTCTTGTGTGCTCATCTCACACATCCCCCACACACACACATCTCACGCTGTACACCCAGAGGTCACTCACGTCTCTCACGCCCGGTGTCAGTCCACATCTGCCTCTCACATGCTGCCCTTCTCCCACCCACCCAGGGACACCCAACAGCTCCTCCTTAATCCCACCCCTGCCCCCAGCCATGAGGAGCCCTGCCCCATGGGGCGTGTGAATATGCAACGGGAGTCCCGGGCTGGACAATGGCGAGTGTGCGTGCCGTGGCGTGCCCGTTCCTGGGGCTGGCCAGTGCCCCTGTGTGGGGCCTGTTGTGTGAAGCTCATGCCCTGACTCTGTCTTAAGTGCATTTGTGCACTTACACTTGGCCTTATGTACACAGCCTTGCCCGGCCGTCGGGGCGCGTAGGGATTTTAGCGGACGTGAATGTAAATAAATTATATATATATATTGCTAACCCGAGTGCTACTTCTGTCAGGGAAAGCCAGGGGTACAGGCCAGTGACCACAGAGGGGTCACCCACGGCTGTTCTGGGAGTCCTGGGTGGCTGGGCCTGGCTAGGAGATAGATGGGGCCTGGGCTCTGGTCCAGCAAGGCTGGTTCCTGGAGACTTCTTCAGACACAGGCTGTCTGGGCAAGGCGGCAGGCAACGGCGGTGACCAGGGCTGCACCTTTGCCGGACCCATCCTCTGACTGCAAGAAGGTGACCACACAACGAGGAGCCAGTTCCCGCACTGTGGCTGCCACTAGGCTGGAGAAACTGACGGGGAGGGCCTAAGGTGAGGCCAGCCAGGCCCCACCTGGCCATGCCTCCCTGCCCAGGCTGGCACCCAGACTCACTGGGGGTGCAGCTTGTAGAGGGTCCCATCCACCCCCACGGACACGGTCAGCTCCTCCAGACCCCGGTTCTCACGAATCTTCTCCACCACAGCAGCCACACCTGCCCCACAGAGCTGGGCAGCCCGCTGGGACACAGCCTGGCACACCTCCAGGACCATCAGGGCGTCATCTGAGGTCAGGGGCAGCCCCAGATCCTCCAGGATGGCTCGGACCTGCCGCAGGGCCAGGCTGTCACTGGGGACAGGAAGGAATAGAACACAGACAGGGTCCTGCATTAGCTCCCCCCTCTCTCATAACTCCTCCTCCCACCAACCAGCTTCCACTCAAAGTAGACAGATAGACTCCTTTGGGAGGTGGAGGGAGGTAATTCAGGCCCTAGCACCTTTCGATCTCAGAGAGAAACTTGGTCTTGAAGATGTCCCTGGTCTGAAGGCACTGGGTCTGCTGGCCCCGGAAGAGAACTCCAAGGCTGGTCAAATGCAGGAGGATGTGGCGGACGATCTCCCCCAGGTACATGCCACTGATCATCTTCTCAAACCTGCATGAAAGCATGTGTGCCCACAGGGCAGGAGACCCCACCGGCTATCACAAGCACCAGCCACCACCAGCCGCCCCTGCCCAGCCCAGCCCACACCTCTGCTTGCCAGGGTTGATGGATGCCTGGTCCACACGTGCATCAAAGCAGGTGCTGAGCACACCCAGAGAGCCATCATCCCCAAAGGCGCCCCACTCCATGTTGATGCACATGTGGCCTGAGTCCCCGGCCACGCCCGCCACATTCCGGAGCTCCTCCATGTAGCAGGCATTCGTGCCAGTTCCTGCGGAAAGGCCAGACAGGGTGGGAGCCATTTACTAACACAGACAAGACCCCTCTGAGTCCTCCCACTGAAATGGCAAAAATTCGGCTCATTCCCTACCTCTCCATCTCCCCATGCTCAAGACATGTCCCAGGTCCTGGTCTTCCTTCCTTCCTGACATTCCTTCTACAGACCCTGCCAGCACCAAGCCCATTGGGCCTCGACCATTTCCCCTACCAGCACCACCATCAGTGCGTCTCCCTTGCTACCCCAGGGCCCTCCTAAAATGTCCATTAGTCATGTCATTCCCCTGGGAGATGTGTGACAGCCCCCAGTGTCTGCAGGTGAGAGACCCAAGCTCCCTGTACGGCCTTCCAGATCTTTAGTCAGACTAGCAGGTGCTGGGCCAGGAGCTGGGGACATAGAAGGGAATCAGACACGAGGATCACGGAGCCCCACAGTGGCCAGAGGTTGGGCAATGAGCAGCCAACTCTGATATTGCCTATATGTGCCCAAATAGAAGCGCAAAGAAGAGCATTATGGGAGCCCTGAGCACAGGTGACTCTTCCTGCCTAGAGGGTCAGGAAAAGCTACAGAGAGACAGTGACATTTGGATTTGACCTTGAAGCCAAGAAGCACAGAAAGGAAAGGCATTCCAGGCAGAGGGGACACCCTGGGTAAGGCAACTCATTCCTCTCCCCAGCACACGGTCGGCTCTAGGCAGGTGGTCTCCTTGTTGGCCTCACCTGGAATTCCTCCCTCCAGTTGTTTATTCACACAGCAGTCTGGGCACGCCTGTCCTGAGTACCTCCCCATAACAGGCTCTATGTTCCAGAAGCTCCCATTCTCACGGGAGGCTACCGCCTCCTCTAAGAGACTGATGCCAACAAGCTGTGGGAGCCCTCCTCCCCCACCTAGCCAAATCCCTTCTTTCAAGGTTTCTTTTCAAGCCCCATGCATGTGGGGACCACCTCCTTTCCAATCTTGGCCTTGCTGCCCTGGCATGTAGAGTGAGATTCAGCTCTCTGACTGCCATGTACTGTTCTGGGCTCAACCCCCACTAAACAGTCAGTTCTGAGAAGGTGGGTATTTCCCCCTTCTTTGTGTGTCTTCCAGTCCCTTCATCCAGCCCCCAGCTGGCCACAGGATAGATGCTTAATAAAGACTGAGAATCTTGGACTACCTGAAGGACCCTCACAGCTCATTCTCTGTCCCCCCTGCCCCCACCTTACAACCCTTTGAGACAGGCATTACTATATCTCCATCTTAGAGAGGAGGAAACTGAGGTTCTGGTGACTTGCCCAAGGGCATACAGGTGGAAGCGGCAGAACTAGTATTTTCACCCACATCTGTATGACTCCAAAGCTCAGATTCATTTAATAGATGGGCAAATTGAGGCTCAGAGAGCTTAAATGACTGTGAGTCAGTAGCTGAGCTGGGCTGGACACCCAAGCTCCAGATTCCCAGTCCAACAGAGTGTTCCAGGGCCCCACTGGGTCAGATGGGAATGATCCCCAAGGCCAGGGGAACATCTGACCTGAGGAATCAAGAGGAGGCAGTGAATTAGCATCAGGCAGGAAAGGCACAAAAGAGCAGAGCCCTCCTCACCGACAATGAGGCCAACCTCACAATGGGGATCTTCATAGCCACAGGACATCATGGTCCCCACCGTGTCATTGACAATGGCAACCACATTCAGCTCCACTGCCTGCACACAAAAGGATGCTGCTAGTTGCTGGGCAACATGGTTGTCACAGCAACCGGCACTGGACCAGGAGGTCTCCACTGCAGAGGGCCCCTTCTTAGGAAGCAGGAGACCCTTTTGCTCCCCTCGAGGCCTACTGCAGCCCTAAAGCACCCCTGGAGGCAGACTCCTTACCTTCCTGCGCCCAATGGCTTCCCGTAGCAGACACACAACATCCTGGCCCTCACAGTCTGATGCATTGAAACCCTTCGTCCAGTTCAGGAGGATGCCCTGGGGTGGGACCAAGGAGGGGCAGGAAGCTGGAGGCCCCTTGGAATCTCACTTGGTCCCCCCAAAGCCTGCACCCCATCAGGAACATATGATCTCCCCCTCCCCATGCAGGATTCCATGCCCACTCTGCCAGATGGTTGAGGGCCTTGCCCTCTGCCCCCTCCCAACTCCCCAGGAGCCTTTCCGTGTGAAGAAACCTATTCATAACCATCCAACCTATGTCTTCTATTATTAGTGCCAGAATGCTCAGGTGGTCTGAGGGTCTGGCCATTTTAAGACATTTGCCCAGAAGGAATGGCCCTTTGTAATTGGGTTAGGAATGAACAGAGCTGGTAAAATGAGTGCTGTGTGTGAGAAAGGGGAGAACGGAGAAGGCTCAGAGGTCCAAATGACAGCAGAGTCTGCTCTTCCAGAAAGACTAGCAAGAGTCACTTGAAAGAATTCTCGGAGTTGGGACAGAGCAGTGTCAATGGGAGATTCACTCATGTTTTCCAGATATGAGTGAAGGACGAATGGGAAAGCCAGAACCCAGACACGCGGGCAGGATGGGCAGGAACAAGACAGACACGTCTTTACTGTGATAAATTGGTCTTAAATTGCGGACTTAGTGATGGGGGTTTGACTGTGCTTAGGACTGTTCTTTTCCCTTGACTGTGCACTTCCTCTGAGGCAGGGGGAGCAGGAATTACTCCACTGCTGTTAGGAGAAAAGGCCTGCTCTGCCCAAAGTAGGAGCATGAAGAACAGCTCTGGAAATCTTTGGGACAGGAGAGTTTAGAAATATGAACCAACATTTCCTCCAGTAATATTTCCTTTTATCCCTTTCCCCATGTAAAAACAGCTAGAGTGTTCTATGCTCATTGTCTCAAAAACAGACACCAGATAGAGCGAGAGAGTGAATGAGCAGGAGAGCCAGTCTGGGGGAGAGTGGATCATGAGAAACAGCAAAGCTTCCATGCTCCCAGACAAGAGAGAGACCCCCTGGTATGGGGAAGGCGAGGGGGCGGGGACGTCAGAGCCAGGTTTTGGATGGCTTCCTGAGAAAGGTACCCTCTGCCCTGGGCATGCCCCTTGGGGAAGGGGAGGAGACAGAGGGATTTGGGTGAT